TGCTGAAATGCATTGTCCCAATTTGTTTTGTTAGGATTGCAGGAAATTTGGAACGAAGCTGCAGCTTTTGGCAGTTTAGCAGGAGGCGGCTGCCAGCCCGAGGCACAGATGGAGGTATTTGGAGAAGCCAAAGCAGCATGGTCTTTCTGTTCCTTTCTTAAAACCATCAGAAGGATTAGATTTTTAGCACTTGAAGTGGCTTAATTTAGATTTTGAGATAAAATACAGCAGGGAGAAACAGTCTCTTTTTTAGTTCTCTTCCACAGATTTTTTTGTGGATTTAGGAGATCGGAACCATATTTTAATTTTATTTTGTTTAAGCAGCCTGGGATTGCGGAATATGATTTTATGACATAAGTGAACTCCAGAGCAGATCTCGTGTATGTGGGCTATGTAAGTCTTTGGTGATATTTGCACCTTTTAAAATCTCAAGTTGCCAAGAAACTACTTCAGAGTTTACCATGACAGTAGACTTCATCTGTGGGTAGTTCTTTGCTCTTTTTTTTTTCCTGTGCAGCTGAGAGGAAGGGGTCAGAAAACTAGTCTTCACATTCAAGACACTTGCTCATTGAAGTTAGTAATTGAAGTAGTGGCGGTTTAATACTAGTTTTAATAGGTTCATCTGCAAGGCCACCTGTAGATATGCAGCTTAGTCCCTGCAAAAAGTTGCAGGGAAGTAATGGATAAGCGTGGCTGTTGTAGCCCCTAGCGAAAGCAGCTTTGTAAGCATGCCTGCAGACAGGGCTTCATTAACAACCTGTGCAGCAGGAGCTGCTCAGCTGCCCTTTGACTTCTCTGGTCCATTTTTAAACAAATGCATACAGACAGAAGCATTTGCAGGCCTATTAGTAGACTAAAACCTATTTGACAGACTGTACCGTTAAAGAGAGTTGATTTCCTTTATGCCTTACTAAGCTTCATGCAGTACTTCTCTAAACTTTTTGTTTCGGTTTCTTACGTGGTGTTTTTCATATGCAGGTATGGGGATGTTCTTCTCTGCATAGCTGTGAAGTGACTCACTTGGAATTTTGTGTTCAGTTGTGAACATGTGGTTGCTAAAATTAATCTGAGGCTTAGATTAGTTTATTGTGAATAAACAAAAATAATTGGCTACTAAAGTGAAAGGTTATTTGGCAAAGATTTAGAAGTTCAGTTAGCTTAGTCAGAATTTAAGTCTGTACCTTAATAAGCTTACTGGGAGGACATAAAAGGAAGATAACTTTATTAGGAAGTCGTAGTGAGCTGGTTATAAATGGAAATAATGGAACATTGTCTTATGAAGAAAGTGTCTGACACTGGGTGAAATACCTTGCCGTTATTTTGTTAGTTTTATTGGTTCTTTCAAAAGAAGCAGTGGGAGACTTACTGGATTGAGCAAAATGCTGAAAAATGTGTAAATGAGAGTAATTCTGCATTATCTTGGAGATAAGCAGTAGTGTAAAGGCCTAGGCTACCTTGACATGGGGAATTGGGATGATTTAAATCTAGAAAGATAAAAAAGGAGGAAAAAAAATCGAAGCAGCATTGCTTAACTTTGAAGGCTCCTCAGGTTCACTGGGTACCTTCCTAGACTGCTTTTACATTTCTCTGCAGATCTAATCTAAGGTACCCAGACATGTTCAGAAGTGTTCGTTTTATAAATCTAATCATCCAGTTCTCACATAATTTATGTTGTAATTCAGAGTTTGAAGTGGAGAGGTGTGTCTGTTCTTGGAGGAGCCTAAGGCAGTAGGTGTTCTCAGGTCATGCTTTCTATATTCCAGGGACGTGGATTTCAGAGCAGTGGCCAGTCGACTTAATTTGCAAAAATGTGCAATGGTTATGGGTGTGATTGCATAATATTTGAATGATTTGAGTCCTAGCACAATCTAAGCTGTAGGTCATCTTTAGCCTGAAGGAAGTAGAATTTACTGTTCCTGCATCCCAAGTGAGTTCCACTGACAAATCAAAGATGTCTCGGAAAAGACATCCTCTAGCCCTTCTTTCAAAGACAGGTCACTAGTTAGGTTAGGTCGGCAGTGCAAGATCAGGCAAAAAGCCAACAGGAAGGAACATAGAGGTCAGGGAGCTCAGGGAGTGTGAAAACCTCATTTTTAATCCCTGAATTGTGGTTTATATCTAAAATTGGCCCATGTGAAAAGCCTAAATAGTCCAAAGAGCAGTCATTACAGTGTCTCCCCCTTTAAAAGAAAGCGAATGTGTCTGGGAGAAAGGATGTCACAGATTCAGACCTCCTTTGATAAAGGGAGATGAAGTGTTGTTTTTTCTGCTTGCTCTCATTACTACATGGCTATTAGTGAAAGATGAAGTGATTTGGCCAAATCTACATAGCCAGTGACAAAAGTTGAGTTTGAATAGATTTTCTTGCTCCAGTCTCCAGTCCAGCTCAGTAATCTGTAGATGCCCTACTGATGGTGGTTTCCGTGACAATAATAGATTTTGTGACGTTTCTGTGACTAAAAATGAAAAAAAAAAGTTTTCTTGCCATTCTTCGTGTTCCATCCCAAATGTTTAGAAGTAAAATTTAAATATATGAAATATAATGTAAATGTATAACATATAATACATCTGGAATTTCAGATCTTAGAGCAAATTATGTGTATACAAAGAAAAAAAAAAGTTTTCTTGCCATTCTTCGTGTTCCATCCCAAATGTTTAGAAGTAAAATTTAAATATATGAAATATAATGTAAATGTATTAACATATAATACATCTGGAATTTCAGATCTTAGAGCAAATTATGTGTATACAAACATCTGGTTGGAGAAGTTTATCTGGTTAATCTTTTGGGACAAGGAGATGACTTCTTGCCCCTTCTTGCCCTGTGACTGACATTCTGGAGTTCCTAGAACTCGTGCTGTGCAACTCTTTGGCAGTGTCTGGGTCCAGAGAGTTGTGGTGAACTGAATTCAGTGTATTCAGTATGCAGGTTTTCTTGAGTAATAATCTTTGATTTTCAGTTTTTCTGGTATAATACATTACTTTAACGTACTCTATTGTCAAGTGTTGTATGCAGAAAAGTCCTTTGAAACTAGCTGTAACTTCTGAATGTTTTAGCATGTTTTAAATGTTCCATTATCCTATGTCATACTTATCAGTGTTTTGTTGCTTTTATAGATTACCTTTCTCAAGGGATAGATCTGTCTGGAATAGAAGTAATTGAAAATGACCTGCTTTTTATTGCAAGAGCCCGGCTTGAAGTGGAAAATCAGGCTAAGAGGTTGCTTGAGCAAGGTGTGGAGACTCAGGTAAAATACACTTTCTTCTTCATTTCCTTTCAGAAGTGAAGTGTAAAACTACTCTGAGCTTGATTTCCTTTGTTTTGTGTAGCATTGTCTGATAAAGATTAAACATGAAAAAAGTCTTACATGAGAAATTCTCACACGTGAGAATATCCTAAGAAATTGACAAAACTGCCCTTGAACAATATTTGCAAGAATAAAATTTGCAGGATCTGGCCCTGAAATTTGGGAGAAATTAGGTGCTAATATGAAGAGTTTAAACACTGTGATAAAAGCTTGATGATTGATAGGACCTTGCAGTAAGCACAGCACACTACATTGCTAATATTGCCAAGCTTTATCGATAAATCTGAAAAATGCAGTTTCTTAAAACTGTAAGATTTCTACATTTTAGCTGTGCAGTAATATGTTGAAATGATTTGATAGATTTCCCATTAAAACTTTAAAGCGCATTTTAAACTTTGAAGTAAATATTCACTGTAGGGACTATCAAAATGAATATGCATAATTACATTCATCCATACTAAATGTAATTATCTACATTTTTAATAACCTGGCTATGTCTATTATTTAACTATTTGTAATATCATTAGTGCTGTTGTCTTGCCTTTTTAAAAATTCATGCTCTTTTGTCTATACTTTTTAGTATTCTTTAAAAAAAAGTATTTTAAATCTCATTACTACACCAAGAAGAAAAATCTAGTACAAGTTCCCATGAAATTTGGGGTTTAAATTAGAGAACAAAGAGGATTAGAGCAAGACATTCTTATGCTGTTTGTTACCTATGGTTAAACTTACCTGTAAGTCAGTATAGCATTCATTTATACTATTGAAGGTTATAGAACATACACAGAATGGAAAGTTTCTTCATTAAATTGGCTTGGTTAGACAATTGAGGATTAAAATTATCAGTTTGTCTCAAATTTTTACTTAGCCCTTTCATTTAAAGTAATTTTCTGCAGTAAGAAGTCATGATTGTGGTAAATACATTTGCCTCTTACGATTTACTGATAGAAAAATGGAAGGAAAAAACACAGTTTTTTACCTGATTACTATTCAAATGTTGAAACTCCTGGCTATTTGAGCACATTGCCAAGCTGTGATTGGGCTTGTTACAAGCTATGAAGTGTATGCGATGTTAAATAAAGACTGAACGAAGATAGGGCCTAAGAAAAAGCAAGTGGACATTTATTTTAAATGTAGCAAAAGTCTTCATCAGTGTGTACTCCTTCTAGTTTTTCGTGTCAGATTTGACCTTCTCTGATAATTTTCTCTTCATATTAAGTACTAAAACAGAGCTGACAAAGAAACCCTGGGGAAATCAATCCCACTCCACTTGAAAAATAGACAGATTTATTAGGTGTTCCAGGCTGTATCCAGGTAATCAAGAGATTATTAAAGTATATGCCTGTTGTGCTTTAGCCAGGGGCCTGTTTCCAGCAAATGGAAGATTATTTGGAAGAACATTATTAGTGCTTAGTCATATCAGAAGTAGGGATGTTTTCATGAAGAGGTGTTGGGGTATGCTTCACAGGTTTGTTGTTGTATATGATTCATGGATTTAATGTTGGAAAAATAGCGTGCTTTAGAAAATACGCATGCAGGCATTGCCCAAGAAATCTAGAATTTGAAATATGACTAGCAGATAGTATGTCTTCGATTCCTCTTATTGTAGCTGTGTGTTTTATTGACTAACTGATTTACATTTATACCTTCCAAGCCCTGAGATTCCTCATAAGAGGACATGGGATCTTCGTATTTTCTTCTGAGTTTTGTAGCACAGAATTCCTCAGACAGGCTGTCTTCCTGGTAGTATCTGTTCTAGTAGCCAAGTCTGTGCCTTTGAGAATAGTTCATCTGTACTTGTCCAGGTGGATCTTCAGTTACTTGATAATTCATATTTGCAATTGCAGTTTTAGTTTTCACCTTTGTTTTGATCTGCTGTTGTGGTGGTTTAACCCCAGCTGGCAACTCAGCCGCTTGCTCATTCCCCTCACAGTGGGATGGGGGAGAGAATGGGAAAAGTGAGAAAACTCATGGGTTGAGATAAAGACAGTTTAATATGTAAAGTAAAAGCCGCGTGTGCAAGCAAAGCAAACCAAGGAATTAATTCCCTGCTTCCCATGGGCAGGCAGGGGTTCAGCCATCTCCAGGAAAGCAGGGATCCATCACTCGTAATGGTGACTTGGGAAGAAAAGCGCCACCACTCCCAATGTCCCCCCCTTCCTCCTCCTTCCCCCAGCTATATATATGCTGAGCATGACGTCATACGGTGTGGGATACCCCTTTGGTCAGTTGGGGTCAGCTGTCAAAACATCCCTGTGGTATCAACAGTGTTTCCAGCACAAATCCAAAACATAGCTACTATGAAGAAAACTAATTCTATCCCAGCCAAAACCAGCACAGCTGTGTAAATAATACAAGAGATCGGTTGCCTACATAACAGCACCTATATTTTTGTATTTCATCCAGCACTTTCCAGCAATGCCTTAGGAAGAAAGTTAGTCTTATGTCTCCATTTTAGAGTATTTCAGTGTCCACCTGGAAGAGAAGCAGGCAGGGGAAATACATAAAAAGTAAAACTATAAGTGTCTCCTTTTAAGCAGAAGTCATTAGAATTTGGTTAATGTCTTCTCTAGAATTCAGCTTTTTTTTCAGACATGCTGCTAGAAGTTACTCTGACAAAAACAACAGAGCTAAAAAGTTTAAACTACCCCTTTCAACATTTTCATATATCTCCATTGTTTAGGTAAGAAGCTATTTTTGTTATTTTGATTATTTATTTAATGATGTATAAGCCATATGCTAATGAGCCGTGCCCAGATTCTCCCAAATAACCACCAGCAGTAGCACATGAAAGCAGATGCTTGCCTCTAAGTGACACATTGTCTTTTTCTCTACATTGTAATTAATGTTTTTATTGCATGTCCAGCACTGT